ACTATGTAGTCTCAAATGGAAAGGACCTAGTCTGTAAGACTACTGTGCTCTAGTGTCTGCAACCATCTAGCAGAGTTTAGATTCACCAGTTCAGAGTGTAAAGTCCTCTGGAACACAGGAAGGACTGCATGAGAATGCTTCTTCAGATAAGCAATTATAATATAATATAATAAGCCTCTTCTGGGACTAATGTAATGAACATTAACTCAAAAATAAGAGTGTGTAAGTATCAAGCTCAACTTTGACCTGTTAAGACACGAATGTAAAAGCATCAGGTAACAATAGCAATCAATACAGCCCAGGAAGTTCTAAAGGAAGAAAAGATTTAACTTTATCCAGGATGGAGTATGAGCTCTAAATGAGACGACCCTTTTTCAGTTTCCCTTGTCGTGTGTCCCAAAATCCTCACAGGAGGTCACAGAAAAAGTTGTATAAGCAGCTGTGTAATGAAATGGGACAATGGGTTTGTGACAATTTCCATGCTTTTCTCCCACCCACCACATGCAGAAGTCTCACAATCTGATCTTCCTAAATATCTTTAACTCATTGTATTCTGCATAATCAAAATTCTCTTAGATCACCTCTCCTCTATTTTGGGAAAGGGGTCTGGGTTGGGGGTTTTTTTTGTCTTTGTTTTCTTTTTTAAGCCCACACACATTTAACTTGGTGGAGAATTCACTTCAAAAGCTTCCTTTCAACTATTTATGAGCATATAAATAGCTATGAAGGAACAAGTCAAGAACTTGTCTAGTATGTTTCCTGTTTCAAACAATGGCAAATGTTGGGTATTTTGGGATGAAAATGGCCATTTTCTTGTGTCTATCTGTGTGCATGTGTATATCTATATCTATATATAGCTACACCCATATTTACACATGTGTGCACACACATCCCCAGGTGAGTAGTTTCTTTATGTATAACTCACCAAAAGAAAATACTTACGTTAACTTCCGGACATGTAAATATAACAACAGCTAAATATAACATTTCAATTTAAAGTTTAATAACTGTTAAAAAGGCTATTTCCCATGTTCTGTGTCATTAGTTATTTAATTTATATCAGTAACTTACATGCATTTTAATCTGCACTTTTTCAACCCCGATTTTATAGTCATTGTGCAAGCCTGCAAGCATGCAAGCCTGCTTCTGCAGCTGAGATTTCTTTCTTAAATTTTTAAGAATAGGCTATGAGGCTATCATCCTCTAAGGATTTTCTGCATATTTCAGGGAACATCTCCAAGACAGAAAATTTACCCAGAATGGTAAGTAAATTCAAATATATGAATATAAGACGCCATTTATGCATTTCAGCTGGACCAGTAAATAGCTGAAATGTGGTAATGTGGTTGCAGTTTTATGTACTTAGAGCATTGTCTTCCTAAGGAAGATATTCCCAGCATGTCAGTTGTCTGGAAGTAGCGATCTAAATTAGATCTCCTCCAACACAAACATCTTCAAATTTAAAAATCACAGTAGGAAATCAGAAAGAATCACTCCCCAGGGGCATCTGTATTCTCAGGGAAACACCAGCCTTTGTCTGTGTCATTTCTAGTCATCCTCTAGCTACAGACCCTGTTGTTTAACACATATCTTGTAGATGCCGCTTTGATTGAAAAAAACGTCCAAAGTATTGAAACCATTACCACTTTTTTCAGGCCTCCTTACCAAGTTTACTTAGAACAGGAGTTCAGTTACATTTAAAGAGAAATAGGCAGATTTCCTTGACAAACTTCTAAAGTCCTGACAGCTGCTAAAAGCTTATTTCCTCAAATCCCTGTTTTTCTTCACAGTCACACTTGTGTTCTTTTCCTGCAAACATCAGCAGGGATTTGAGGACTCTTACCAGGAAGGAAAAGGTGCTGGAGAATTTTGTTCACCTAAGGTGTCGGTTCTCTGTCTCTTTTTTCAGCTATGCCTACTCTCAATTTGAAATACCACCCCAGTAGCTTTAAAACACAAAAGCTTATCACTGTATTCTCTTCTTGCTTAGTCAACCTTTTTATTACTTCTATGCATCTTCGGCTACATTCGTCCCATTCACCTCTGTATTTGTTATGCTTTCTCAAGGCACCTTATCTTTCCATGATTAACATGAACGCAAAAATGCTTCCTTTGCACATACATTAGTCTCTTTTCCCAGAGTAACTGTTTTATGTCAAAGTTAAAAGCTATCTATTTTCAACAAACCTGACTTTTAAAGTGGGTTTAAAATAAATATTTGTAGAGCATACCGCACTTTCTTACCTGAACAGAGTTGTTCGACTTTTGTGTAGTTTAAAGCTAATATATCATTAACCCATGCGATGATGTCATGTCTGCTCATAGTCTCTTGGGTTATAGAGGTAGAGTACACGTTGACCGCCATTCCCCAACTAGGAAAAAAAAAAGACAAAAATATTTTTTACATTTTGATAATTGTTTTCTGAATACAAGGAATTTACACTTCCTGTTCAAAAAAAGAAGGAAAAGCTACATCACTGCACAGCCTTCTCTTATTTATTGAGAAAAGGCTTTATTTTTATTCTTTTGATGATACGTAACCTCCTCAACGTCCTCTTGGAATCTCTGAACATATTTATATTTCTCTGGCTGTCACTATGAACTTAAAGAACATACATACCTACAGTATTCTGCTTAATACTAATAAGGTAGGAAAAAAGGAATCAGACATAGCCTAAAGATACTCAGACAGGATCAGAGACGTGGGATTCCATCACATAGTGCTGCACAAATATAGTGATCTGACATCTATCCAACAGGTTTTTTACCACTGCAGGATGATCAGACTGCCTAAATCAGTATTTAATTTTCAGATAAATTCTAGAAGATGTAGCTGTTCTACTTACTCAAATACTGATTTCTTACTGGGACAGGGGCCTTTTGGATCATTAATTCAGTTCTTGACAGACACAGAGTGAATACCAGATAATCTTTTTTATCAATTTATCAACCTCTATCCTGAAGGAAACTGAGACTTGCACCCCCAATTGTCTGGTTGGAAAGCTGCTGTGGAGCACTATTTCTCTAAACTGCTAGGAATATTTCCTCCCAGTTTAAACCCATTTGTTCTTCTGCCAACATTATCCTCCAGCTCTAATGGCTTTTTCTTCCCCAGAGTTGATTTTGTAATGGGTTAAGGACAGCACTCTGAGTATGTCCCAGTGCCCAGGCAGGCTAGATTAAACCAATCAATCCTCCGAGTCTCTTATCAACTCAGACCTTCACTTCCTAGACCTGTCAGCAGTTCTCCTCGAACACAGACAAACAGTTTCAGACTGTGTTCAGATAATGTTTCACCAAGACCTTGGAAAATGGTGCTTTGTGCTGAAAATTTTCATAGCCACATCATCTTAAACAGATCCTTCTAGTTAGCTTAGGTCCTTTCCTGCAAGTAGGTAATTCATAGTAGCTTTTATCATCAGTCCCAAGTGCGTAGACTGGAAATGCATGCTACTGGATTTTATTCCATGTTATTCTACACTAGTCACATCTTTCTGTTGCAAGACATTGCTAAACTTTTAATTGCTCATCTTCTATCGCATCAATAGTTTCAAAGAGCAGAGGCATGATCATTCATGAAAATAATGTTCCCAAGACTAGTGGACTTCAGGAAGTTCAGTAGTAACAATCCAAGTGCGAGGTGTCTCAGAAATAAAGTTGCACTATTATTCTTGGACAGAAAGGGTTTGGTGGGGATGGCACACCTTTTTCTATAGTGACACCTTGTAGGTAACACTTAACTGGCTAGCTTTGTTGCCAGTCCTGACACCTCAGTCTTGGACCTCAACCTTCTCCCTCAGTGAAAGAGAGTAGGATCTCCTCTGTGGGACCTGAGGTCCACATGGACTATTTCCATTGACAATTTGCAAAGATGTAACTGCTTTCAGCTTGACAGACAATTCAGCAGAGAACACAAAGACTGCAGCTTAACTTCATCAAGTTTTTAGGTGTGCTGGAGCATCCCACATAAAAAGTACAAAAAACCCACCAGCAGGAAACTTGACACAGTAACATACAGCGCTGCTTACAGCACACAGGGATATATACAAAAACACATTCCATGCTGTATGCACATAAGATACACGATGACCAAGTTCATTACATAGGCCACTTTCTATGAAACAAATTTCACAGAGAATATTGTTCAAATTGTCCCCATCTACTGATATTAAGATCCAAACAAAATCCTCAATTTTGCCTGATGAGAAGGAAAAAAAAGAATTAAAAAGAAGAAAATACAGACCAATAAGGGAAAGCAGGCTCATAAGATTCATGCTCCTATCGCCAGGCTACTACTGCCAGCAATTCATTCAGAACCAGGCTGCCCCTCTACCTGCTTCTGTACGGGCACCTCTGAAGTACGGAAGAAATCAGTCTGTCCTCAGTCTGTTCAGCTCTTCCTGCAGGCTCCCAGACAGCACAGCTAATTGTATGAACATAGGACTGTATTCACTGTAACAGTTAGCAAAGGTCATTTTCTTGGCACACACTAAGTGCTTGGATTGAACCAAGCGCTAGGAACAAAGTTTTAGAAATAGGGAGTGGCCTTTTACTCTTGAAAGCACACCACAACAGCTAGCCACAAAAGCTTGGCTTCAACGTCAGGATGGAAGGGACTGAGCACAGCACAAAGACCAACAGCACCTTTGTTACCAATGGCATCGGAAGTTTAAACCGTCATTGTTAGCATGGTTTTTACTTTATTATTCCTAGTCTTTCTATACAAATAAGACACTAATACAAAGATACTACCACTATTAAACTAACATGTTCAGTATTGTTTGTAAGATCAGTTCAAGTAACAGCTTAATAGTGACTTTAATATTCATTTAAGACTCAGAACAGGGAGTTTAATATTAAACAATATGGAACAGTAAACTCAGTTCTAATGAAGCTAAAGATATTTAGATGCTAACATGTGAAATAAAGCTGCTCTGATTTGCAATTGCCACTACTTCATCCAAATTTTAATTGTCCTCTTGAGGACAGGCAGAACTGAGAATAACTATCAGGTACCAGTAGTGAAAGCAGCAAGTCTACTCTGTTAAAAAGATCAAGAAGTAGGAAGCAGGAAGGAAGCAGAAATTCCCTCATCATCTTCTTCCAAAAGCAACTGTAAAGAGAAATACTTATCCTTCTGCAACCAGCAGGACCAGCAAACAACCTCCTTTGCTGCAGAGCACGGGGTGGGGAACTCTACTTCCGGAAACTGTGAGTAAATTAATAACCTTGAGTTTCACCATGATACCCTGAAGGATATCTGTAATATAACTTACACTGTGTCTGCAAATTAATTTTTATGGTCTACGGGTCAAATAAAACTTTGTGCTATCTGTTAGAGACAGTAGCTTCACATTTGTACAGACAGGTATGCATGAGAGTGTATCAATACAATTTTAAACAAACTTATGCAAAATGAATCAGAATTTCTACTAAAAAAAACTTCAATAACATGCAATTGCCATTTATTCTCAGTGACTTGCTAACATACAGCTGAATCTTCCACAGCCTCTTTTCTCGAAAGAGTTCACCATGCCTTTGCATCTCCTGTCCCACATCGTCCTAATGGTTATGTTTTAAATAAACTCAGCTGGGAAAGGTTTCCTTTACAGTAAACATGTTTTACTTTGGTGCTCAGATACACGCATATCCTGTTTGCCACACAGACAGATCTTGGAAAAACAAAAAAAGAGAAGAAAAAAGAACAAGCAGGCATAGGTAGCGGAGCCACCATGCTCGGTGGCAGATGAGAACCTCTGCACTCAACACCCACAGCTGAGCCCGGATTTTCTCCAGGATTCAGTTCCCCATGTACTGAACTGCTTTGAAAAATGTGATCAGATTCAAAACACATATTAATAAACATCTGTTTTCTGACACAAGAGAACAGCTGGACAGGTGGAGACTCACAAGCTGTACGCTGTGAACAGCCAAGTAGCTAACAAAATATCCGTATGTCCTAATACATTACTTCTTCCAATAATATTATTTATATTTTCAACTTGTTAGGCTTTCCCTTGTTTAGGCTGAAGGCTCTCAAGCATAAGGCTGCGATGAGGCTTACACAAGCCTGAAGATCAGCATCTGCCTCACTGAAATCTAAGCTTCCGCCTTCCATAGAGATGCCTGGCAATTCTACAGCAACTAAAAGCAGATTGAAGATAGCACATCACATCCCACACTTGGGAGCATGCAGGTGGAGATGAAAAACCTCTGGCTGTTACAGTATGCCTAACTACAAAGGCCCCTGCCTTGTTTTACTTTTAAGAAACTGAAAATAAAATCCCCAACAAATACAAAAAGCCATAGGAGAGTCTTCACGCATTAATTCAGGCCGTTTCAGAAGAACACTTCACACGTGCACAGCTAAGCACCACAGACCTGAGTTCAGAGGATTAGTTAGGTGCTGAAAATCACGTATATGCTTAAGCAGTTTCCCCAATCAGAAATACACTGGCTCAGCATACCTGATGGTAAACATTCCACCTAAAGGACTATTAATTTTTTAAGGCATTACATGCAGCACTGAACATTCAGATATTAGGCATTTCCCCCTGTGCTTGCTACAGATAACAGCAGCTGTTACAAGGTGTTATCCAGCTGTGTTTAAGGACAGTTTTGCAAGAGGTGTAATTCTTTTTCCCAGGAGAAACTAACAGTGTTGACAGCAGAAGCTGTATTATGCCAAACCAGTAATAACGGCAAGACTGGAAGGATTACAGCAACAAATTAATCTATCTGCAGTGTAAAAACTTACCACACATGCCACCACCTCTGAATGTGCAAGGCCTTCCTGTTTCATACGATTAGGCACAGTATGATATTAAGTTTTTAGACGCAGTAGAAAGCCTGTGCGACAATACAAAGAAGAGCCTTCTGGAAGCTGGCACCTGATAGCATCAGGATAGATGCTGCCAGTAAAACAAAACACCTCACACCAAAGTTTACTGAAGCAGAAGACAGAGCAGAAAGGCTAAGACATAGTCGAGTGAAACTGCTGTAGCTCCTGTTGGAAAGGCTTTTTAGATTAAAGCTATTGCAAAACAAAAATCCCTGAAGGAAGAAACCTGCCAGCCTCAGTGGCTGCATCCCTGTAGAAGGAAAATTCATCCTTTCATATCATCTTGAAACAGCAGGTGATTTGCAGCTGGACCTTGCCTGCTTGTTGCCTGCTTCTTTGACATTCACTGCATACTGGCTTAGCCATAGCCATTAGAGGCCAGTTATGCTCGAGGTTGTCTTTACCAAAGAGTCCTGAGGACAGAAAAATAACACAAAAAGCTCCAGCACAGTTCTGACAACGCTGCTCTTGCTCTCCCTTTTGACTTAATGCTGTAATCCCACAGCAAATTCAATGGCCATGGCCAA